CGCTCTGGATGAATATCGCGCGCTACCCTCATTGTCGCGGCTGCTTTTTGTGCCGGCATACTTATTATGTCCACGTCGCGGAATACATTATGCAAATATCATATTTACGCGGTGGAAAGGTGGGTTCTTTGGAGAGCATGCAGGGCGGAGACCATGCAGAAAGGAAATTTTTAATTTTCTCGTTCCTAGCTCATTTCAATCGTGACGAAGCTCGATGAATTTTTGATAATTGTTCCAGCTATCTCGATTAATTTAATCGTTAAAAGTAAAAAATATGGACTTGCCTAGACGGGTTTCCAATTTTAGGGAGGCGAATACGTAGAAAGAAGAAAAAGTTACGGGTCGATTAATATATTGAGTAGGGGAAGGGGGTTAAATTGGTGTTTAAAAGAAAAAAAAAATTTCATTTGCGTATTGAAATCCTCTCGTCGATTAATTCGTCGTTGTTGAATTTAATCTGGCAACGTTATTACCGAAACCCCCGACCCACGTTGATCGCCGTCAAACGAATCCCTCGGGGGTAGATGGACAGGGCCCAACCGGTTTCGGGAACCGGGCACGAAAAGAGGGACGCGAGCCGGATTAAATTATTGTCGCCGGGAGAGGTCTCCTTCTATTTCAAAACTTTCTATTTCGATCGAGAAATTTTGTAGAAAAAATTATAGGTTTTGATAATTTTTCGAAAATTTTGTTAATTAGAGACGTTTATTTATTTATTATTATTATTAAGGAACTAAAGAGCTTCGATCTCAGAACTACTTCTAAACGAAATATCGATTGATAGATAATAAAAAATTCGAAATATTGCCAAAAATCCTCGAGAAACAAAAGCTTTCTTCTTTCCAAAGAAAGAAAGGAAAAAAAAAAAATCACAGCCCAATCAAAGACTTCACACGCGATCGTCGCTTTCGAGCGATAACTCGAATCCAAAGATCCAATTAACGTCGCGTGGAGAGATATGATACATAGATTCTCTCTCGCCGTATCCCTCGATCCTCCGTTTCCTTTGGCACAACGTTTATCGATTACACCACAGCTATATAACCACCCCTCATCCTCGAGCCAATCTCCCGACCGCTCGAAGGCGTTTGCCCGATTCCCGCCGATATCGAGCGTGCGCCGCTCATTATTCGATTATATCCCGATTATCGAGCCGAGGGATCTCGATTGGCCTCTCCTATGCTAGAGAGGCCCCTTAAGGGCCCCTGTTCCCCTGCCAGCCAAGGAGGAGGAAGACGGTTTCCACGGCTCGGCGTCAAACAATTAAGGTTGACTTACGCGTGGCCGAGGCGCGTTACCACCGTCCGTGCTAAAAGAGTAAACGAGTTACCGGCCTTGCCGCGGATCAGATAAACGCGAAACCGTGGCCCTGTCATCTCGGAAGAATTTACAGGCGACGTCGTCGCTGGGCCAACGAGAGGCCGAGAGAGAGATAGATGAAGGGAGATTCTGTTTCTCGTTTGCTATCAACTCGGCGAAATCTTGATTTCCGCGCCGTGACGAAGCGTGGCCGGTTTCGCGCCCGAAAGCTTTTCCACGAAAACGCCGCCTTTGGATCTCGCGCCGTTGATGCGCGAGAAACTCGATATTCCGTGGTGATTGTCGGTAGCGTAGGACTCGCTTTCATCGATCGGGTACGAAAAAGCAATTCGCATAATTCCAGAATTAATAATGGATTTAAACTCGATTCATTAGTTTATCGTAGAAAATTTTAAAAGATCCTTCTTTTTTATTTATATACTTTGAATTTCTTATCAAGTATCGCATCAAGTAATTCGTCGTATTTTAATAACGTACGAATTTAAATACTGTAATGCAAACGAAAAATTCACTACGCGACCGTTAATCCGTATTAATATAATTTTCTTGTCTTCGACACACACGTATATACAAACATTTTCCTCTTCGAATATTACTCTCGAAACTATTCGACGCGCAGAACGAAGAAAGGAGTTCACTTACCAGGCATGCAGACGCAGCGGAAGGTTCCAGGGTCGTCGAGACAGGAGCCATCGTTCTGACAGGGATGGGATTCGCACTCGTTCACGTTCGTTTCGCATCTCGGCCCCGTGAATCCTTGCGTACAGTTGCAAGCGAACGAGCCGGGCGTGTTCACGCAAATACCGTCGTGCTCGCAAGGAGATCCTGAAACGAACAAAAAGACAAAACATTTTTTTTTTTCCACAATTTCCAATAATCGTCGAGAACAAACAGAGGGGAGGAGGGGAAGATAATTAATTTTTTTTTTCCACAATTTCCAATAATCGTCGAGAACAAACAGAGGGAAGAAGGAGAGGAGGGGAGGAGGAAGACTAGAGGCGAAATATATTACATCTTGGTCAAATGGCTTCGCGTAAAGAATCGATAATTAACTTTTTTTTTTACAATTTCCAACAATCGTCGAAAAGAAACAGGGGAGAAGGAGAGAAGGAAGACTAGAGTATTAAAAGTATTACATCTCGGACGAATGGCTTTATGTAAAAGGTGGATAATTAATTCTTTTTTTTCCACAATTTCCAACAATCGTCGAAAAGAAACAGGAAAGGAGGGGAAGTGGAAGAGTAAAAACGAAAATATTACATCTCGGTCAAATGACTTTACATAAAGGGTCGATAATTAATTTTTTTTTTTTTCCGCAATTTCCAACAATCGTCGAAAAGAAACAGGAAAGGAGGGGAGGAGGAAGAGTAAAAACGAAAATATTACATCTCGGTCAAATGGCTTTACATAAAGGGTCGATAATTAATTTTTTTTTTTTTCCGCAATTTCCAACAATCGTCGAGAAGAAACAGGGGAGGAAAGAGGAGGAGGAAAAGTAGAGGCAAAAGTATTACATCTCGGTCAAATAGCTTTACGTAAAGGATCGATAATTTTTTTTTTCCGCAATTTTCAAAATTCGTCGAGAACAAACAGAGGGGAGGAAAGAGGAGGAGGAAAAAGTAGAGGCGAAAGTATTACATCTCGGCTTCGCGTAAAGGGTGGATAATTAAAGGAGAAGGTTGGCGAGAAACGGTGAACGTTCGGCGCATAAATAATTAATAGGAAAGAGTGGAAAAGAGCGGAGGAGCGCGCAGGTGCGTTCGTCCCCCGTGGGATGCGCGACAAACGCAGGCTAGAGGGCGCCTTAATTGGCCAGGTCGACGCGGTTTTTCGAGGAGTTGCCATTAGGGAAAGAGGCAAAGGAAGGGAAGAAAAAGCTACGAACTCCATAAGAAGGAAGCTGCCGCGCGCGAGGATTCCATCTCCTCCTCTCAACGAGCAGGAATTCTTCCCGCTCGGCGATCCGTTTCGTTTTCTCGGAGTTACGCGGTTCGCGCTAATTGCAATAAGATAATCGCCCCGCTGTCAGATGATTTCGCCATTCGAGAAATGAGCGTTTCATTAAGCCTTAAGAAACTAACAGTTAAGAGGAATCGTTGAGAATTTAATTCGGTCGCCATTTTAATTCGCTCCACCGTTGTAATTTCGCGTAATTTGACACGCAAATTATTATTCAAAATTGAACTACTTTGCTTTCTTTCCTTTTCTTTACAAAACTAGTTTAGGAAATGTACGTATGAATCGTGTCTACGCCATTTTTGTTATAACTGGATTAAAAAGGTATTCGTGTTTTTATTTCTCTACTTGTGTAAAAAATAAAGAAACAAAGATATCCTGATGATTTCTACAAATTAAGAGAAAATTATCTTTCACAAACTTTAAACGACACAAACTTTTAACTTTTAACTTTTTCGCTCAAAATCCAATAGCAACAAATTACTAAATCTATCATCTAGTTTAATACTTTTCTTCTTCGTTATTCGACCACTTCACGATCCTTCTCCCTCTCTCTCTCTAATTAAAAATAAAACTCTGCTGGAGGAGGCAGATTTTCCAACCTGCCATTATCTAACCAACTCTCTGGAGAAATTCCATTACAGGAATGCTCGACAACGGCGTTACACGTCGTTCCTTTAGCATACAATGCCGCTCTCGAAAGAAAGCGTCGAGGGGCCCCTCGTTGCGCCTCCTCGTTCCCAAGGTAAACGATACTCGCGATATTTGCGAAAACTTTTTCGAGAAGGATCAGTCTCGAGAAGAAAAGAGAGCGGCCACGTTTATGCGAAATGGCGACAGAGGCGGTTGCCATGGACACGGTCGCATGCCAGCTTCGTGTAATCCGCCGCCACGGTTTTTCCGGCCGGATCCGTAATTGGTGTTGGCCGCGCGCCACGTTTCATCACGAGGAGAGGAGGGGAGAAAAAGCGAGGGGTGTACGCGTGTTACCGAGGGGGGAGGGCGGCAAGAAACGCATTGCTCGGCCGTGTTCGCGATCGAGCAGATGACGAATCGGTCGGGTGGACGAGTCATCTCTTCAAGGACGCCGCCGCTGCCGCCATGGATGATGATGATGGAAGGAGAGATTGATGGAGGTACGAGCGTGTATTGATTAAGAGTGTAAAATTAAGTGAATTGTGAATGATCGCGATCGATAAAAATCGTAAAAGAACGAAAAAGTAAAAATGCTTGCAATTTTTTGATACAGTAATATTGTGTTTTATCACAATGTGAAAGATATTCGATGCTTTGCGATTCGATAATTATTTTAACACTTTAATGTAAAAGGTAAAGTAGCGCAATTTTTATCCTTTCTGCACCAATTTCATATCTCACGAATATATTATTAATTTGAAGGAAATTAATTAATTTTCTAAAAGATTTCATAAATTTATTCGTCATTTTTGCTCTTCATTCAAGATTCCAATCAAAGCTTGCCGATCTAATAAGTGTTTAATTTTCGAGTGAGATACAAAAATGGCGCTGTTATCCGATCTGAATATAAAATCAACGAATCTTATTATTATTAAAACAATCCTCCCTTTATTGCCGCTTTTAATACTCGAATAAAACGAGAGAAGAAGATTGAAAAAGACGACGAAACATCCTCCTCCGTTTAACGATTTCTTCGAAGAGATGAACCGTTTAATACAGAAATTTCTATATACCGAGTTCTAAATGCAAAAATAAACGTATCGAGGAGATGCTGCTCGTGTCCTCGAATATAATATCACGGATAATCGATCAATCGCGAAAGAAGCACAAGAAAGAAAAGAAGAGAAAGAGGGAAAAAGAGAGAGGACTTCACTGTGTTATGTAGCAGCGGTTCGTTTCTTCTTGTCCGAGAGAGGAGCTTAATCTACCAGAAAATATGCAATCTAGATAATAACAGAGCAGAGGCTCGAGGCTCGTGGTCATTATGGTTGTTATTAAACTTAAAATAACGAAATTTAGCGTTTAATTAGATTCGTTGGTGCGCCGCTGCCACCGTTGCTGAGAGAGGCAAGGACGGACCTAAATCCTCCTAACTTCCGGTCGAATCTTATTACCGATTCTCTCCCCTGCTCTCACCTTTCTCTTTATCGAGCCAATTTCAATAAATTTTTGAAAATTTATGCACGATAAAACAATTCCTCCTTTCTGAAGTTCTGAAATTTCGAGAACGAAAGCGAACGAATATCCCATTCGAAGAAAAACTCTCTCTCGTTCACTTATTCGCTTATCGTTGATTCGACGAAATTTTGAAAAAAAAAATCCTCTCGATATTTCATTTCTTTTTTCGAAGAAAAAGGAGGAGGAAGACTTCGTGAAATCGAAGACGTTTTTGAAGAAATACCTGAGATCTAGAGTTTGAGATCTTTGTTTCCAGTCGACGTAGATTTGTCTCGAGGGGATTGGAGTAAAGAATAAAAGTGTTCTAAAAATAACTAATTCAACTCCAAGAGGATCCATCTAAAGGAGGAGGGGACACACATCTCATCCACTTGGATTTCCACTTTATTCCGGATTTTTAAGGTACCTATATATATATATATATATATATATA